ACCTACTTTCATCTCAAAAAAAGAACTCGATCGAAAAAGAAAAAGTTGGCCGTGTTAAAGGATTGTAAATCTATTAACATACATATCCTGTATTTAAAAATAGACTTATCTCATGTGTACTTCGTGGTGCTCTTTAAAATAGTATACAGATTTGGAAATTACTACCTATTTTAGATCTACAAATTATGTTCAAAATTTTGCAATGTAATGTAAAAATGCTTCCGATCTAAATCTAAATCTTAAAAAGGTAAAAATATTTTAATTTTATTTAATGTACAAGGAGTTGAGTGAAATACGACAATGAGAGATACAATTATCGATGAAATCCCTTAAACTTTTTGGGGTTGACTAGAGTTAGGGGTAATTAGAAGGTTGAAGGCGACAACTGGATATTATAGACTGCGAGAAAACCTGAGCAACGTATCAGTTAAATCAGGACGTCATAACATCATAAATGGAATTAGAGATATCAAATGGATGATAATTTATGACCATATGATAGCCACGAGATATATGAAGCAGAATAACACTCGATCCAGACATCAGGGTTATGGATAAGGTGCTTCTTTGGAAATTAGACATAAATATAGAATTGGTAAATTAATTACTATTTAACTGGGAATAAGCCACAATTAAAGATAAAAATACGTTTATTGACGTTTCAATTTCCACTTCGGAAATCGTTCTCAAAATACAAACAGTAAATTAAACAAATTTTGTTTTTTGTTACATAGTGAAAAATTCTTCTAATAATTTAATTTTATCTGACTCATTTATATTGACAATTCAGACATACATTATGCATTTTAAAGTAGACGACTTTAAAATGATATTGCCAATATTGTTGAGTTGCGCTCCTGGGACGACTTTACTTATAAGATAGTTCATTCGATTACATGAAATCAACTTTAACTTGAGAATATCCGTCAGAAAAAATCATAGCATGTAATTCGTCTTTAAAAAGACAAACACATGACATGATGACAGTAAAATTCTCCTGTTAGTGATTCCATAGTAAATTATGAGGGAAAAACCAGGAAAAAAACCTCATAATACTATCCCGACATTGTAAGTATTTGTTCGTGAATTTAGTTTACCTTCAACAAACATCAAAATTCTGATTTTATATGTTACGTTATTTAAAAAACATAAATGATGTATCCTCTATATGTTACTGACTTACTAATACTGGTATTTTCTTATTAATAACTTCCTCTTTCAATATTGGTAACCAGATCCTACTACATTCTGCCGAGGAATTTGCGACACAATTGGCCTCATTTAGCATAATTAGAGCCGCTTCTTTGATTTTTCTTTTTTTACCATCCGTTTCTTTTAGGACTACATTTGAATTATTCCATTGAACCCTATGTTCATTATCCCATGCGTGTTTACATATTTGAGATCTATCAAATTCTCTATTTTTAATATAAGATTGATGTTCACTTATTCTAACATTTAATGGCCTTGATGATTCACCTAAATAAAACTGATCGCATTCACAAGGTATTTTATAAATGCAATTCTTTGTCCTTTCTTGTTCATTGTTAGGTTTGGTTTTGGACAAAATAGATCTCAACGTGTTTGTTGTTTTGAATGTTGTTGAAATGTTGAATTTATTTCCTATCCTTTTAAGTTTTTCTGATAATCCTTTTATGTACGGTATTGTTATTTTCCTCATATTATTCCTTGTGTATGCTGTAGGATCTCGTTCTAAGTTGTTCTGTTCTATTCGATCGATTGTTGAAAATTCCTTATTTATAAACGATAAAGGATAATCATTTTTTAATAAAACAGATGTTAACAAATGTTTCTCCTCCAAGAACGAATTTTCGTTAGAACAAGTAATTTTGGCTCTATCGTATAAGGATTTAATTATTCCCTTTTTTACATTAATATTGTGATTTGATTTGAAATTTAAATATCTATTGGTGTGTGTTGGTTTTCTATACACCTGAGTCTCATATCCAGTATCGTTCTTAGAGATTAAAACATCCAGGAAAGGTAGCGTGTTATTATATTCCTTTTCCATGGTAAATGTTATTGTCTCTTCTTTATCGTTTATATCATTTAGGAATGTGTCCAACAACTCTGATCCATGGGGCCATATTGAAAATACATCATCTACATACCTCCACCTATGCTTAAGAAACTTGGACAATAAAATAGCCGATTGAAAGCGTATAATGTCATTTGAAATATGGGTCTACCGTAGAATGTTGCGCATACCATAGACCGCTCATCGCACAAATATCTCAATTCTAGCAGAACATAAAAACTAGACTCATCACAACTATCAACCAAAATACTGAGATTTTTGGACATATAACTAGAAGAAGAGAAGGCATGGAGCGAATGATAGTTGAAGGTAACGTAGCAGGTAAAAGATCCAGAGGAAGATCTCCAGTACGATGGTCGGACCAAATAAAGGACATGACTGGTTACTCATTCTCCGAAGCAAAACAACACGCACAGGAGAGAGATAATTGGACAGAAATAGTCAAACAAATTACATGACGCCACTACATCCTTAAGAAGGAGAAAAGGTTGAGGAGGATAGAATAGCTCAGATTTTGAGCTAAGTTTGAGATAAGTTTTTTGCCGTTTATAAGGTGTTCGATTGAATTCTTTAATTTTGAGAGATACTTTCTAGAACTAGATGTTTAGTCGGAATATATTTAGTTTCGTCTGCGGATTTTCTATGAGTTAATCGATTCCAGTCGTCGGTGTAATCAAACTTTGCGGATGGTGTTTGTGTAGTCGGGTACAGACACGCTTATTTGCTATTTGGCAAGTAGAGTGTGTATGAATTTCTCGTGACGAATAATCGCTCTTTGGTGTTCCAATCGTCAGCCAGATATATAGTACTACCATATGGTCCATTCTATTAACTACCATAGAATGTTCGGAAAATTCAATATTTTTTGAGAAAGAAAAAAAGTTTTATACTTTTTTTTTGCTTTGAAATTTTGAACTTTAGAAGAAATAGTTCCCATCGTCAGTCGATATTTTAGTCCGAACCAAAGAAGATAAATAATTGTGAATGTGACTCGATACAAATATTCGTGTCAACTTAAAACTTAAACTTACTTTAAAAAACTTAACGACTTAAAAGAACTTCACACGGGTATAAGTTTATTACAAATAAGAATAAAACAAATATTGTTTGAAAGTCTATAAATTAAGCTTTAAAATAAGATTTTGTTAATCGTATTTTCATGCGTAGAAGCAGAGTTACGATCGATAAAACTTCAAAAAATAATCGAGTTCTAACTATTGGACTAAAGTTTTGTACACGGTAATTTCCTTTGTCTTTTTTTCAAGAAACAAATTTTATTTGAAAATTTTTTTTAACTTCTTTAGTTTACAAACTAGAGCCTTATAAACAATTAAATTGTTTATAATAATTATTATGCCAACTCGGATCGAAATCAACCTTCGAAATTCGCAATGAACAGCCAAAAATACATTAAAAGAACTAAAGAAGACCCAGAAAGAACTTAAGAGGAAAATGGAACACGAATTATATCTTGTACCTTAAACACTTTTCCACGCTCACCCACACCACCCCTTAAGAAAACAAAAGCAAAAGAAAATTATTTTTGTTGTAATCCATATAAGTGGCAGTAATACATCCAGACAACGAGAAATTTAATACAAATATTGTTTTTCCAACAGGAAAAAAACCGTATCCTACTTAACAATTAATCCATAACCGAACAATATATATTGTGTGCCATCCAAAGAAAAATCTTATAAGTTGATTAACTAGATAATACGATAAGGGGAGAAAATGCCAGGAGCGTAGAAGGGGCTTTTAAATAATGTTGAAAATATCGTCCATTATTTTCGATAAAAGAATTTAGTCTCTAACGAATAAATGAATTTCAATTTCAATTCAAAGTTTTAAGCTCTATGAGTGAAATTTCTTGCATTGCATTTTTGTCATTTTCTTTATAGTTGGTTTTAATTTTATAATGTAGGACACTTAGAACTCTCTGAATCTTAAATCTTTAAAACCAAAATCATTCAGATATATGAGCATGTACATTTTTAAACCTCTTTTTAAGAGACACTCTCAATAAATGTTTGAATAAATCGTCTATAGTTCGAAAGTCGTAAAATATGCAATAATTAGGATTTTTCCAAGCAATTTTTGGAGCCTCTGACCTCTCTATTGTATCAAACTGTCTACTATTATGGATAGAAGTTTCCAAAGAAATTTTATGTTCACCTGAACATCTACTTATATAATAATATTTTGCGACGCAAATAACGACCATCAAACGGATGTATTTACGTTCGAAAGAAAAATTCGATGTGATCCATTAAGTGTTTAGACAGTTAGCAGAAAAATTTGGAATTAAAAAAACTGAAGCCAATGAAATGTTTAAACATAGAAAGTATAGGATGTACAAAACATGGTATGGGAGATACAAAATATTGGCCTGCTCGATCGCCGGATTTAGATCCTCTATATTTTAATATATACTAAAACCTGTCAAATAAAGTACACGAAGAAGTTTTTAAATATTATGATTATCGTATTTCTCCTGCCATCTCATTTGGTCAATTTTGTAAAATGTTAACTTCTTTATATTGAATTACAACATCTAGCGATTGACATGCAACTCTGAATAATTTCCAGGCTTTTTTCAGGAACATTTTTGTTACAAAATTTGTTGTCCCGAGCGTGTATTATGATCCATTCCCGAGATATGTACACAGTCGTTTTTACCCTCCATGCGACACACGGTCCATGGTGTATTCGACACGTAAGGTCAGATCTCAAAAAAATCTGTTAAGTTAAACGTCTTATAGAGAGAAAAACATTGATATAGTTTATACATTACATAGATAAAAAAATAAAATAAAAACCTAAACATTAGAGTTTTAAAGCTGTATTTCTGTTCCTATAAACAAAAATTATTATACCTTTACAAACATAGTACATACATACTATATGCTCCATACTAAAATCAAAAGGTTACACAACTTACACATTAGTTTTTGAAAAAATTGGTTATTTTCTGCTGTTTTCCACATTGTACACGTTTTTTGAAGCCATGTCTCTCATCCTTTTTAAGAGCATCACGTCACTTGCACAAGTATCTTCTTGACTTTCAACGTAGCACAGCAGAGCCTCGATGACTTGAATGCTTCGGAGTGGCTCATTACGACCGGATTTTTGTCAGCGATTTCATTCCCTTCGTTGTCTGAGTTTATATCATCATTCTGGTATAACATGTTCAATATATCGCCTTCTATTAATTCTTTCTGTTTGTCGGCACTGTTATCATCGTCTTCCTTCATTTTTTCACATCCCTGTAGGTTCTTTACCAGTTCAGCGATCTCTTCTTCGTTAAAAGTTTCATTGGTACCTCCCTCTAGTTTTCTTCCGTCCACTTATCAGATGTTTTGTGGTCTAACAGCTTCCTCCATGACCTTAGCTTAGTTGTTGGTTTTATGTGATCCCATGCTTGTGCCACCCATATCACCACATCCAACATGTACACTTTTTTTAGAGTCTCTGTAACGTTTTCTCCTTCATCAGTTTAAGCAATCAATGCCGTCAGTAACTTCCGTCGATAGACACGTTTTATAGATTCTATAACACCTTGGTCCATAGGCTGACAGAGTGATGTCACATTTGGGGGCAAAAAAAGACACTTTATTTCTCCATCTTTTAGTTCTTTTGGGTTGGATGAGAGGGTGCGTGGTCCAACAGCAGGACTGCCTTTCTCAGTAGATTATTTTTTGCTAAATATTTTTCAACCTTTGGTACACATTGATTGTACCATTGTAGAACCACACTATGAATAGAATACTATCATCCAAGCACTCTTTTGATGATAGTACCAAACTGCAAGGAAGAAAAGTCTCTGAAGTTTTTGAAAGCGGTAAGTTTTTTTGACTTTCCTATAAACCCTAGAGGGGGTTTGTGAGATCCTGTCGCATTGCTGCAGAGTAAAATTGTCATTCTTTCCTTTTTCTTCTTGAATCGTCGTGCTCTGTCACCTTGTTTTAAGACCAAGGTGACGGTCGGCAGTATTTTACAATTGAGATCTGTTTCGTCACAATTGTAAAGATGGTCTTCGGTAATTCCTTCTTCTAGTAAGCTGTGCAAGGTCTTTTTGAAGACTTCGTGTAGCGTTTACGCTACTGATTAACCCCTCAAGAAACTTCTTGTGTTCCGCCAGCGATCGATTTTTAAATCGACATTTCTCCACTCACGCGCTGGGAGCGCTTTGAAAGGATTGATCGATTTTGTGCGGTAGAAAAGCGGTCAGTTTTGGTCAGAACTCATACGCAGCCACGTCAGTCAATTCAAAGTGACGGAATTGGAGCAGTAAAATAATCTGGGACGAATAAAATAATACCTAATTTAATAATCATATCTTAATAATAATAATAAGTAAATTTTAAAAATCAAGATTCTCATTTATAAGTGTTCCACATAAAAAGGAAGATTTTTTTTTGGCGTGCTGCGGCTCCATATTCCGTCACTTCACTTGAGGATATTCTCTTAAGAATATTCCCTCAAGGACTAGTAACAAAACTTCTTAAATGGTTAGCAACTCTCCTGGATTTTGCCGTCACTCCAAATAGACCAGTGACTGGTTTTATGCCCAGACTCACCTGGGATTTGTCCTTTACAGCAACAAACTGATTTAGCCGTGCCAAGAGGAGTTTTTTCCTAAGGACTTATAGTGCTGTAAAGATAAGTTGTTTGACTGTGTAATTTTTTTGTTACTGCCTATTTTGTTAACTTTTCATATGCATATGATCAAGTGACTACATTTTGATAAAATATAATTTTGATATTATTGGGAGAGGGAAAATACCTTTCATGTTTTATTAGTTTTTTTTTAACTAGGATGTAAAGGGTTTGACCAAACTCACTTTTTTTTGATATAATATTTTTTTTAATACATATAGAATAAATTTTGATTTTGGGAAGGGAAATAAATTTCATGTGTTTTTTTTTAAACATTATATAAAGAGTATTGAAGACTCATTTTTGGACGTAATATATTTAATATAATTGTAACAGAATTATCACTTCTGATATCTTTACAATATTGTAATTTGTATCTCATTTTAGTAGAACTAATTTAAATTTAAATGACTACCTTTTTGTGTTAAGACTTTGGCTATGATACGGACTATTCTTAAATTTCTACTGATATTTTAAACTTTATTTGGCCAGTGGTAGTGACTATTCGCTTGTTGAGGGGCTATTAGGTCCTATTGTATCTTTACACTACACACTACCACTGTTATTTAGTTTTGCATTATATGTAAATTGTTAATACATATATATATATATATATACTATATATATATATACTATATATATATATATATATATCTAACATTTTTATAAATATGTTTATTGTTACTATTTTGAGTTTTATTTCAGTTCTACTAACTAGTATATAATATAGCAAAACAAGATTAGTATTTGGTATTTTGTATTTCAGGTTATTATCTCCAGAATCATTTGTTTCCAATCATTTGTTACTTCAAAATCTCAACTATCGTTGAGTTGGCGCCCTTCTTTTTCTCTTCTTATTGTTCTCTTTCTATAAATTTATTCCCAGTGACCTTCTTTAGTTGTATCACGTTTGATATTACCAGGTCTCATTTCGTTTCTTGTCTCATTAGCTCAGTATCCTTGCTATCTGTTTATATCTTTAAAGCCACAGTCCAGTGCAGTGAAGCTAGCCCGAACACTCACTTGAGATTTAGTGTCTCTTTGGCCACTTAAATTGGTTCCTCTGAGCTTAGCCATATTTTTAGTATTTTCATCACCTCTCTTCCAGTTCTTCTGGAATTTGGAAGTCTTACACTTCCTAAAATCCAATACTCCCGGAGTATTGAGGTTTCATTCGACAACTTCTGGATCAGCAGACAGTTTCTCACCACATATCTGTAGCTTCCGCACACCGTACTGATTTTCCAACTCTCCAACCATCCTTCACTTGCCTTGAAATCATTATCGCCTCCAATTTCTTTGTTAAAGTGTAAGGCTTTTTCTTTTAATATACGCACTGAGACTGGTAATCCCTGCTCCCTTCTTTGGGTGAACCAAAGATACAAATAAACACTCATTGATATGGTTGTTAGTCACGTTTCAGTTTCTTTATCACAGTTGTTGAAACCTGCGATGAGCACCATTTTTCAATTTTGTTTCTAGATTTTTTCCAGTCACTCACAGTGCTAGTCTCTACACCCATCTCAACAGCAATATTCTTAGCCGTTTCACCAGCATCTAGCCTCTGCAACGCGCGAAACTTTTCTTCCATCGTTTTTTTCTTTCTTTTCTCGGTCATATTACCACAAAAACGATGGACAAACAAGGAGCAAACAACGATCACAATATCAAGTAGGTACGAATCTTAAAAATTTCACGCCAAACAACTTTCACTGCTCAAGAGCACACAAAGACTAAGAGAAAACACAGACCCACAGTCGGAGAAAGTCAAAACGGTAGAGAGAGTCATTCAAGGTCACATACCCCGCTAGAAATACACCCATTCGTAGAGAACTACAGCGGAGCTACTATGTTGTTCACTACTATAGGAACTACATAGCATATCTTCAAAAAATTTGTCCGGCGAACTGTCCGGATATGGGGAGGTCCTGATGTGATAGGTTAGAACGTATGTTATTTTGATTTCAATATCACACTTTTGTTTTAATATACAGTACTTGTTATCTCTTCATCAATGACAAATTTATTTATTAATAACTTTCGAACCCCTTCCCTACATATACCAAGAACGACAATGTAATAGAAGGTAATAACATTGGATATCCGATACGAGCTAAGAATAAGACGTCAGTCATCCAATTATGGCGGTAAGCGGGCAGCGGGATGACACCAACAGTGCCAACGTGAGCTACGCAAGCCAGCCGAGCGGGGTAACCAACCCTGCAACCCTAATCCAGCCATTGAGGCTTCTCAGACTTGTAATCTGACGACCTGCGACGTCTTATATACGTCGCAACGGCCTTTTCGCCGTAGTTGGGAAAGTGTTAAAGGGATTTTTAGATCAACGGTTGATATTCTATTGTGTTGCTGCCTTTTTCTTTAAGTAATAATGGGAATCAGTTTATCATTGATTCACATTACTTCAGTATTGATGAAAAAGATAGATACCACACATAGGTATACTTTCAAAAAGAAATAATCTTACAGTAGCAAATAAGAAAAATATTAAATTGCCAAACACATGGATTATTATAATGCATTCCAACAGTTAAAATGTCTTATTTTCTTTTGAAGAAGCTTGCCATTAGGAATATGTATGTTTTTATGTCTTCGCATTTTTCTCTAAAGCAATTTTTTTTGTTTCTATTATTTTCGTACTTAGTTTTAAATTGGGTAAGTAATGAAATGAGTAATGAGTATGATATATGAGAATAATAAGTAATGGAAATTGAAAAAAAAAATGCGTAATTAAAAAAAGATACAAATTAAATAAGTAGATGCATGTGTTCGGAACTTTAATATTCATATTTTTATATCCATTCAAAGCAAATTAAGGTCTCAATGTATAACATGTTATCAAGAATTGTAGTAATTTGATATCAACATGACGGCAACCAGTACGAGTAATAATTTATGTAAAGAAGGACACTAGCACTCTCTAAAATGTGTAACTTTCTCTATCTTCCTATAAACTAGACTTCCCCTAAGTTACACATTCTTAATTTTATCATTTTTTGTCTCTCCACTCATCCGAGAATTGTTACTTTAGCTAAAGTGACAACGCCACAAGCATTAGTTCATGCTTGTGCATAACATTCAGTTCCGTACATTCCAGCTGGTCATATAGATGCATATCTATTTTTCCATTGCACTATAATACTAATCCTAGATACTTAAAACAATTACTTTAAAGATTTTGGCTAATTTTTTTTGTCCTCTTTCACTCTCTCTGGTACCGTCCCTTTTAATGCAGTATCGTCATTTTTTTGCATTCCTTAGCCAATACTAGAAAGTAGTCGATAAGCTAGACCAGCGCATCCTACCTATT